GAATATTGTAAACTAGGGTGTGCTTGACTCATTTAACAGGTTCACAAGCTTAATTAATATTTATGGAATCAATCTCCAAACGACCAGCCAACCATGTCTTAGATGGATGGACAGCATCCCGGCCAGCAGATGTTTATTTATGCCATTTATTCCTTGCAGGTGAACCATCAATTGAAAGTGACCCAGTGGCATGTCTGCATCAATAGCGAGCCAATGATTTATTACGATCAACACAAATTGTGGGCTTGTTACCACATTGCTGCCATGGCGTGATCAGTCGTGCACAACAGGATGCATGTGTAATGGAATGTAGTTGTGGCAAGACTCAGCCCAAGAAACGAAAAAACTTTTTCCTTTTGAGAAATATTGTTTCATTCAGCGAGCCTGTTGGGCGACACGCAGACCAAATCAGTATTGTGCGATAAAACTGGTAATCAGAATCATCTTCAGCGAACATCCAGATGGTCACGTGCCACTTGACCCAGAGATGATGCGACCAGCTGCAGAATGTGTAATGACAGAAATGCAGCTGCACTCACAGAGAGGGTAATCCACAGCTGTGGTGACCATGTCCAGGGTGGACTGGGCCACCTCCGTCACCTTGCGAGCTATCAGACCACGAGGCTCCACCTTACACACTGCAGGAACAGAGGAGTGTACGAGTGAGATACAAAAGCAGCGGGAATGATATCACAAGGCGGCAGCTGTTATAGACACAATCAACTTCAACGAAGCATTCTGCAGTATTTAACCCTCTGAACTACAAGCAGTTTCTGAGCCCTTCTTTGCTCCTGTCACATTTTTACTCACTATGATGGGATCATTATTCACTGCAATATAAAGTCCTGCACCGTTATGGAATCAGCACAACCATAGCTGGATGCAAAGAGAACTCAACAAAGTCTTGTGCAGTATATTATGGTTAGAATGCCATAAATTAAAAATAAAAGTTGAATTTCTTTGATTGCCTGTTCTTCCATCATCTTGCCCACAACCTGCTCTTCTGTAAACCGTTTTAGGGTCATGCTGCATTTCTTCTGATGGTCAGATAGTTTTGTTTTCCTCTCCTCTCTGCTCTGTGTAAACACAGCCTGACATTCAGT